GCGGGGGAGAGAGGAAGAGAAGGGGGCAGAGACAGCGAGAGGAAGAGAGAGGCCATGGGGGGAAAGAGAGAGGGAGAGGGGGAGGGGGAGAGGGAGGGCATGGCCAGTTCATTCAGCCAGTGCAGCAGCGGAACGTGGGGTGTACCTGCTCCGTCCCTTGCTATCATCTGTGCTTGTGGTGAGACCTGCGACCCCGCCCACCCGCCTCACCCCGCCGCCTCCTTCCGTGCGCGCCCCGCCTGCCCACCACACCCCCACCCGCAACCCCCGCAGGGCCGCATCGTGCCGTGCGAGTTCATTGGTGTGGTGAAGAGCCAGCAGAGCGTGTACCTGAAGGGCGAGCTGGTGTCCAACCACGACGAGCTCATGTGCAACTTCTTTGCGCAGGTGGGGGCTGGTGGTGGTGGGGTGGTAAAGTGGTGGGAGCTGGTGGGAGCTGGTGGTGGGTGGTGGCGTTGTGGTGGATGGCAGGGTGATGGTGGGTTGATTGTACACCCAGGTGGGGTGGTGGTGGGGTGTTGAATGTAGGGCATAGGCGTTGGGTGTGGGGGCGGCTGTGGGGCGTGGAGGCGTGGCCGGTGCGGCGTCTGGAGCGGCCGGGGACCTCCAGGCACCGCATTACATCCGGTCGGCTGGCCGGCGCAACGGTACCGTGGGGGCCCGCTCCTCGCCTGCCCGTCCGCACCACAGCCCACATATGCATTCACACACCAACTCTCATCAAGATGCACGACTCCTTGCCCTCACCCCTGCCCCGCCCCGCCAGGCCGATGCTCTGGCCATCGGCAAGGACAGCGTGACGCTGCGGGCGGAGAACGTGCCCGAGTACCTCATCCCGCACAAGACCTTCAGCGGTGGGTGGAGGGGGGTGGCGTGTGTTTGTGTGTTTGTGTGCGTGTGCGTGTGTGTGTGAAAGGGGTGCTGGCGTGCGGGGCTGTGATCGGTGGCCGAGGGCAGGATGCCCCTGGGGATGGGTGGGCACTTGGCTGCCCCCTGCGCCCGCCACCCTCGCGTCAGGAAAACGGCTTGTTTTTTCACTAGATCAACTAGTGACATAAAGTTTTGGCTAGTTGACACGCTACTTACTGCGCCGGCACCAACCCGCCGCACCCCGCAGGCAACCGCCCCTCCACCTCGCTGCTGCTGCCCAGCCTGTCGCCCTTCCGCGTGGGGCAGCTGCTGGCGCTGTACGAGAACCGGGTGGCCACGCAGGTGAGGTACTGTACTGCCCAGGAAGGACAGCGGGACGGTACTGACGGTACAGTGGGAAAGCCGTGCATGAGTGGTACAGCCCAGGCGTGGCAGTATCGCAGCTCGGTACTCGACTCGGCATGGGGGAGCTTGCATGTACATGCGCGGAGGGCAGGGCATGCGCTGCATAATGCGCGCTCACACGCACGCCACCCCATCCAACAACAGAAACAACAGAATTGACCCTCCTGCCTGTGTGTGATCACCCTCCTGCGCCTGTGCGCAGGGCTTCATGTGGAATGTGAATGCGTTTGACCAGTGGGGCGTGGAGCTGGGCAAGGTGAGCGGGCGAGCAAAACAGACAGAGCTGGGAAGCTCTGGCGGCAGGGGAGTGGCACGGTGTGAGCTGGCGAGCAGAGCAGCCGTGGCCGCTGCGCTGCGCCGCTCCCCAACCGCCCGCGCAGCACACCACACCCACCTGCGCCGCAAGCTAGCACAGAGCGAGGCGCAGGCCGCCGGCGTTGCCCTGCTGCTCCCGCTACCGCTTCTCCCACCCCTCCCACCCTTCAGGCTCCCACACAAACCCTCGTGCTTTCCTCCCCGCAGGTGCTTGCGTCGCGCGTGCGTACGATGATGCACACGGCGCGCACCCGCAGCCGCCGCATCACCATCACCGACGGCTTCAACCCTTCCACACGCAAGATGATCAACAGGTGCGGGCGTGCGGTGGCGGTGGTGGTGGTTGTGGTGTCTGTGCCGCAAGGTCGTTTGCGGAAATGCAGGCTGTAAACACGAAAAGCAAGCAGGTGGTGTGTGTGGGTGGGTCGAGGGTGTGGGTCGCACGGTGCTGTGCTGCCTGCAAGCTGATTGGCGAAGTTGTGGGGATAGGGCCCGCTCCCGGCGGTGCGGCAGGCGGGCGCCTGTTGCGCCTGCCTGTGCCGTGCCCCTCGCTGCCATCGCACCTGGCGGCCCAGCCTCAAGCGTTGCACCCTGTCCTGCCTGGCATCCCTGCCCCATGTTATGTATGCTGAGCGCCGCTGACATGTACCGCATGTACCGCCGTTACCGCCGCAGGTATCTGGACGGCAAGAACCAGATGCTGTACCCCGAGGGCAGCGACGTGTTCCCCTGCGATCTCATCCACTCGGGTGGGTGCCCCGCCTGCCTGCTCTGCCTGCCTGCCTGCCTGGAGTGTTTGGTGCTGCCAGGGCGCCGGCGTAGTGGGCCTGGGAAGCTTGGGGGTGGGGTAGGGTAGCGTGGGGGCTAGGGCTGGGTGCGAGAGCTGGCGCTAGGGCAGTTCAGGGAGGTACCCAGCTGCCAGGTACTGCGGTGATGGGGGTGCTAGACACGAGAGAGGCGCAGGGGAGGCTAGAGGTAGGGGTAGAGGTGGGGTGTGACCCCCATGCGCCTGCTGTGCGCGCGTGGGCACACCGCTGCCGCGCCGGCTCGGGCCGCTGCCTGCACTGCAGACGAGTGCGAGGCGAAGTTCTGAGCGGGGGCGCTCTGTGCTGCAGAGGGGTGCGAGGCTCGGTATTGAGTGGCGGCGATGGCAGGCGGCGGCGCCAGCTGGCATGTGGAGCTGGCGCATTGGGGGCCCTTCCTTCCCCCCTGGCTCGTCTCCCCTTGTGCTGCCCCTACTCGCTCCACCTCCCTCGCTGCCCGCTGCCGCCCTCTACCTCACCAGCACGCCTTCCGTGCCCACCGTTCCACCCCCTGGTCTGTGCGTGTGTGCCCGCTCGCCTCCCCCTCCCCGCCCGTGTGTCCAGAGGCGACCGTGCCTTACAGCGAGCTCAAGGTGTGAGACGGCGGCAGCCCAGCCAGCCAGCCAGCCAGCCATCCGCCAGCTGCAGCGGAGCGGCGAGGACGCGGAGCTGGCTTAGCCGTGGCGGCGCCGTTTGTGTGTGTGTACCGCCCCCCTCACGCCGCCCGCCGTTCACTTGAGTTTTTTTCTCGTGTGTTTGTTCCCCGCCATTCATCCCCAGCCTCATTTAGGCCGTTTCCTCTGTGTTGCCCGCCGCAACGCACCCCAGAGCTGAAATACATTTGCTGACCCGTTGACCCTTGCCCGCCCTTGTTCCTTGCCACTGCGCTTGTCCCGCAGCGTGACGCGCCTGCTCTGGCCGTCGGCGGGGCGCACGCCGCTTGCTGTGTACTCGAGTGTAATTGTCCCGCTGCTGCATGGCCAGGGTGTGGCGGTGTGTGGGGCGCAAGCTGGCCAACGCGGGCTGCTGTGACTGTTTTTTATCCGTGCACCAAAGGCCAAGCCGCAGCATGGCCGCTCTGATGACTGGTGCTGTGGGAAGGGGAGATGAGCAGGCACCGGCGGCCTAGCCGGCAGTGGCGCAATCATTCCTGAAGCTGGAGGCAGCGGCGCACGCGCTCAGATGGCACAACTGACGAGGAGGCACGCGGCGGGGCGGGCCTGCTGCGACTTGGCGCAGCGTGGCACACTGGGCCTGCTCGTGCCCCTCCATAGCTTGTGAGACAAGACACAGGCAGCAGCGAACGAGAGGCACACCTGGTTGGCTTGTGCCTGCTGTCGCCTTCCAGGGCGCTCGCCTCGTTCCCCCTGGTGAACCTCCTGGCAGCAGTGGCTCGGTTGGGAGGAGCACCTTGAACGACTGCTGGCAGCCTGCATGTGCTGGGGCGCTCCCTGGGTTGGGCTGCCGCTGCCGACACCCCGCCCTCAAGGGAGCTCCCCGCCCGCTGCTGCAGGGCTACCTGGCTGTGTGTGTGATGGATCTGGCAATCAAGCTCAGGCATGCAGCTAGAGCCGGCGACGAGGCAGCTGTGAGGCAGCTGCTGGCGGCAGGCCCTCTCGCAGATCAACCCGACACGGCCGGTTTGCTGCCACTGAACGTGGCGAGCATCTTCGGCCACGAGGGAGTGGTGAGGCTGCTTCTGGAGGCTGCGCCAGCCACGGCGTCAATGGCAGACAACCAGGGGCAGATAGCCCTGCACAACACAGCAAGCAGCTTGCGGAGCAGCCTAGTCGCGGCCGCGGCAGTCGTGCGCCTGCTGTTGGAGGCTGCCCCAGCCACCGCCTTGGCAGTGGGTCATGGTGGCTGGACACCGCTGCACTTTGCGGCTGAGCGTGGGAACATTGAAGTGATGAAGCTGCTGCTGCCGGCGGCACCTGCCGCAGCTGCAATGCTCAACAAATACAAGCAGGCCCCAGTCCACCGCGCCGCCTACCGGAGCAATGCCGCAGCCGTGCAGCTGGTGCTGGAGGCAGCACCACAGTTGGCTTTTGCGCCGTCTGCGCTTGGCGACACACCGCTGCCCATGGTGTTCCTCTACGGCCGCTTCCGTACAGCAGAGCAAATCATCGAGACAGCGCGCTGCCTGCTGCGGGCGGCACCAGCGGTGCAGCCAGCCCTGAACACCCTGTTTCGGTTCAGCCATCGCTCTGCCACCCTCTTCGCCGACCTGGTGGCCCGCCTGCCGCTCACTCAGGAGCAGTGGCACTCCATTCCTGCGCCCTGCCCCGACCTGGCTCGAGCGCTGCCAGCCGTCCTGCAGCGCTCGACTGCAGAGGCGGGGTGGCTGGTGGGTCATTTGGCAGAGGGGCAGCGTGGGCGGCTGCAGGCGGCGGCGCTCGGCCTGGCGCAGGCACAGCGGCGGCAGCAGATTGGGGCTGCATTGCCAGCGGAGCTGAGTGGGCGCGTCCTGGCGCTGGTGGTCTAGCTGCAAGTTTTGCACAATCATTGTTTTGTTTCCACCTCTGCATGTGATGCGAACCATGGCCTCGGGGGCGGTTTGTGTTGCGCAATCAACGGCCGGCAGGCGGGTCAGGCGGCGCAGGCGCGGATGCCACCGGCGGCGGGGCAGGCTTGGTCAGCTGTGCCTCAGAATCAGCCTCGCATCAGCATGAAGGTCCATACCTCAGTGCATTAGGAACTGGCTGACGATGTGCACACGTGATGGCTCCGCAGCTCAAACAATCACAGTCTTGCAAGCGGCTGCGCTGGCAGCGGCTTCAAACCGCCGCATGGCCCAGCACAGGAATATCATCCCGGCCCACGTTTGGTTTGTGTCATTTCTGTCCGAGATAAGATCTCCCCTGTCCCATCCCTCCCCTCGAGCGCCCACCAACAGCGTGAGCACTGTGGGCCGCCCTCGCGCAGCTCGCACGCCTCTGATGTCAACAGGGGCTGGGCTTGGGGGGAAGCTGAGCCGCTCACGGGGCGGCTCGCTGCTGCGCGCTGGGGCTGCCGCCCGCCGCGCCGTCGCTGCCGCCAGCGTTGCGTCAGCGTCCTGGCTTCACAACAGCATCCCCCTGTGCCTTGGCCCAAGCCCGCTGCAGGCTCAAGAACAACATGGCAGCGCCGCTCTTCGCGGCAGCCGAGGCGGGAGACGAGGCGGAGGTGCGCCGCCTGCTGGCGGCAGGCGCTCGGGCGGATCAAGCCGCGGATCAAGCTGTTGCCTCGGAGGTTGCCGACAGTGTTCGCTGGCTGCCGCTGCACGTAGCGAGCAGCAGCGGCCACGAGGGAGTGGTGAAGCTGCTTCTGGAGGCTGCTCCAGCAACGGCTTTGGTGGCAGACTCCCAGGGACGGACAGCCCTGCACCTTGCCGCGAGAAGCTGGAACGTTCCCAGCTGGTGGCCCCCAGCCGCGACCGTGGCAGTCGTGCGCCTGCTGCTGTCGGCGGCACCCGCCGCAGCCGCAATGCTCGACGTAAACAAGCAGGCCCCCATTCACCATGCCGCCTCCCGCAGCAACACGGCAGCCGTGCAGCTGCTGCTGGAGGCGGCACCAGAGCTGGCTTTTGCACCGCACGCTTTTGGCGAGACGCCTCTGCAGCTTGCGCTGGGTCACGGCTACCAACACACACCAGAGCATTATGTGGAGACAGCGCGCTGCCTGGTGCGGGCTGCGCCAGCGGTGCAGCCTTCCCTGGACATCCTGCTGCAGTACAGCCAGCGCTCTGCCACCCTCTTCGCCGCCCTGGTGGCTCGCCTGCCGCTCAGGCAGGGGCAGTGGCGCTCAATTCCTGCGCCCTGCCCCGACCTGGCTCGAGCCCTGCCAGCCGTCCTGCAGCGCTGTGGCAGCCAGCTGAACCATGCTCCACACCGGACGCCACAGCATGGCCGCCCTGGCGGCAGGCGCTGGGGGGGGGGGGGGAAAAATGAGCAAGCTCCCGCGGCCTTGCCGGCATGGCATAATCCCTCCATGCATCTGGGGGGCGGAGGGGCAAGCGCTCAGCTAGCACAACCGGTGCAAGGGGCAGGAATCATGAAGGTGCGGGCCTGCTGTGAGTCAGCGCAGCGCGGCACCCTGGGCCTGCTCCTGCTCCTCCATGAGCAGTTGCTTGTGCTCCAGCACACAGGCAGCAGGGAACGAGAGGCACACCTGGTTGGCTTGTGGCTTCTCTCGCATCGAGGTGCTCGCCTCGTTTCCCCAGGTGAACCTCCTGGCAGCAGTGGCTCGGTGTGGAGGAGCACCCTGCATGACTGCCGGCAGCCTGCATGTGCAGGGGCGCTGCCTGGCTGCAGCTGGGGCCGATGTCGCCATCATGTTGTCTGCTGAATACAGGAGTATGCAGCGCTGCCGCAGGGCTTGGTCCAATCAGCGTAGCTCAAGCAAGTCATGCTGGAGCTGGCAGCGAGACTCAGCCATGCAGCCTACCATGGCGATGAGGCGGCGGTGCGGCAGCTGCTGGCGGCAGGTGCTCAGGCGGATCAAGCCACCGAGAATGGCAGGCTGCCGCTGCACACCGCCAGCTTCCAGGGCCATGAGAGGGTGGTGAGGCTGCTGCTTGAGGCTGCGCCAGCCACGGCATCAATGGAAGACAACCTGGGGCAGACAGCCCTGCACCATGCTGTGAAGTGCAGCCCAGCCCAAGCTGTCGTGCGGCTGCTGCTGGAGGCTGCCCCAGACACCGCCTTGGCGGTGGACAGCTATGGCTGGACGCCGCTGCACTTTGCGGCTGAGATCGGGAACATTGAAGTGTTGAAGCTGCTGCTGTTGGCGGCACCAGCAGCAGCCGCAATGCTCGACGCAGACAAGCATGCACCCATCCACCTCGCCGCCTCCAGCCACAACGCGGCAGCCGTGCAGCTGCTGCTGGAGGCGGCACCAGAGCTGGCTTTTGCACCGGATACTTTTGGCGGGACGCCGCTGCGCCTTGTGCTGCTCTACGGCCGCCACCGTCCAACAGAGCAAGTCGAGGAGAAAGCCCGCTGCCTGCTGCGGGCGGCGCCAGCGGTGCAGCCAGCCCTGGGCATCCTGCTGCAGTACAGCCATCGCTCTGCTACCCTCTTCGCCGACCTGGTGGCCCGCCTGCCGCTCAGCCGCGAGCAGTGGCACTCGATTCCTGCGCCCTGCACCGACCTGGCTCGAGCGCTGCCAGACGTCCTGCAGCGCTCGACGGCCGAGGCGGGTTGGCTGGTGGGGCGGCTGGCAGAGGGGCAGCGTGGGCGGCTGCGGGCGGCGGCGTTCGGCCTGGCGCGGGCGCAGCGGCAGGGCAGCGCTGTGCTGCCGCCGTATCAGATCGGGCGCATCCTGGCGCTGGCGATTGCGGTATAGCTGCTGGACCCCTGACCCCCCTGCTGATGCGCCTGTGTTCTACACCCCACCATCTCACGCCTTGATCATTTCAGCTTCTTAACAGAGCCCTGTTATGCCCAGTTTCATGTTTGTTGACGCCTCTTGGCGTCCAGCACAATAATCCGTGCAGCGACCAGCAAGCCGCAGCATGGCCGCTCTGACGGCAGGCGCTGGGGGGAGACGAGCAGGCACCGGTGCGGTGGACAGCAGTGGCTCAATCCTTCCTGCACCTTTACCTTTACCTTTACCTGCAGCTGGAGGCAGCGGCGCAGGCGCTCACATGGCACAACGTAGTTGTGCCTTTCCGTCAGAGGAGGCAGGATGGCAATGTGCGGCGGGGCGGTCCTGCTGTGAGTCAGCGCAGAGCGGCACCCAGGCCTGCTCGTGCCCTCCAGAAGCAGCTTGGGGTTGCTTGTGCTCCAGCACACAGGCAGCAGCGAACGAGAGGAATCCCTGATCGGCGTGTGGCTGCTCTCGCTTCCAGGTCCTTGCCTCGTTCCCCCAGGTGAACCTCCTGGCAGCAGTGGCTCGGTGGGGAGGAGCACCTTGAACGACTGCTGGCAGCCTGCATGTGCTGGGGCGCAGCCTGGTCGCGCTGCCACCAACGCACCCGCCCGCCCGCCTCCCTGCTGCAGGGCCAGCTGGTTGGCTGATGGTGGGCTGTTTGGGTGATGGAGTTGGCAGTCAAGCTTGTCTGGGCAATTGAAGTTGGCGACGAGGTGGCGGTGCGGCAGCTGCTAGCAGAAGGTGCCAAGCCAGATCAAGCCACCGATGATGGCTGGCTGCCGCTGCACTTCGCCAGCTACTGCGGCCATGCGGGGGTGGTGAGGCTGCTGCTGGAGGCTGCTCCACCCACCTCCTTGGCAGTAGAAAGCTACGGCTGGACACCGCTGCACTTTGCGACAGAGTGTGGGAACATTGAAGTGATGAAGCTGCTGCTGTCGGCGGCACCCGCCGCAGCCGCAGTGCTCTCCACAAACAAGCTTGCCCCAATCCACGCTGCCGCCCTCAGCAGCAACGCAGCAGCCGTGCAGCTGCTGCTGGAGGCGGCACCAGAGCTGCCTTTTGCACAGGATGATCTTGGTGAGACGCCGCTGCACAAGGCGCTGAGATACCGCTTCGACCACCCAGCAGAGCAAGTCACGGAGACAGCACGCTGCCCGCTGCCGGCGGCGCCAGCGGTGCAACCAGGCTTGGAAGACCTGCTGCTGTACGGCCAGACCTCTGCCACCCTCTTCGCCGACCTGGTGGCCCGCCTGCCGCTCAGCCAGGAGCAGTGGCGCTCGATTCCTGCTCCCTGCCCCGACCTGGCACGCGCGCTGCCAGCCGTCCTGCAGCGCTCGGAGTCCGAGGCGGGGTGGCTGGTGGGGCGGCTGACAGAGGGGCAGCGTGCAACACTGCGGGCGGTGGCGCTCAGCCTGGCGCAGGCGCAGCAGCACAGCAGCACTGTGCTGCCGGCAGAGCTGAGTGGGCGCATCCTGGCGCTGTGCCTGCTGGACCCCTGACCCGCTTGAAACTGCCGAGCGGCGGCATAGGCCGCGGCTAAGAAAGGCCTTCTTTGAAGGCGCTGGAGCTAGTGTCTAAACCCTCCGAGAGGGCACAGGTTCGATTCCTCACCGCTCGATTGACCGGCTCAGCGCCAATCCAAGCCAATTCCTTCGGGAACGCCTAATAGAATCGCCAAGGCTTCGGCACAGGCCTCCCCGGGACCCATTCACTACTAGTGGGGGGTACTGCACTTGGCGCGTCGGGCAGATCAAATAATGGTCTAAAGCTAGACGTTAAAACCGGGAAGTGAAGCTTGTGGAGGCTCTTCCCCACCTTTACCTTTACCTTTACCTCCCATGTCGAAACTTTGTGAGGACAAACGCGGCATAGCTGACCGGCTCAGCGCCAATCCAAGCCAATTCCTTCGGGAACGCCTAATAGAATCGCCAAGGCTTCGGCACAGGCCTCCCCGGGACCCATTCACTACTAGTGGGGGGTACTGCACTTGGCGCGTCGGGCAGATCAAATAATGGTCTAAAGCTAGACGTTAAAACCGGGAAGTGAAGCTTGTGGAGGCTCTTCCCCACCTTTACCTTTACCTTTATAGGCGGCATCTCACCTTCCACGCCCTTTGCTCATTCCATCTGTGGGGAAGCACTTCTACAGCTATCTCATGTTCTGACATGGCCCTCTGTCGGCAGCCAGCACAATTGTAATCGGTGCACCAAATCGGCAAGTCACAGGAATGGCCGCTCTGACGGCAGGTGCTTAAGGAGATGAGCAGGCACTGCCTGCTCAGGGACCCGGGTGGCACCCGGGTCCCTGGCCAGCGGTAGCACAATCCCTCCTTGCATCTGGGGGCATCGGCATAAGGCGCTGCGCTGCCATGCCATATGCAGTGTATGCTGCAATGCGGGGAGGTGCAGCGAGGCGGGCCTGCTGTGACTCAGCGCAGCGCGGCGCACCGGCCATGCTTTCTGACACAAGCAGCCTCGGATTGTTTGTGTGCTAACCCACAGACATCAGCGAGAGATAATGGACGCAGGCTGCTGAGCTCGCCTCCAGGTGCGCTCGCCTCGTTCCTCCAGTCTCACCTCCTGGCAGCACCAGGCTGGGGAGAACGCACCATGCATGACTGTCAGCATGTGCAGGGGCGCTGCAGCCTGGGTGGGGGGCAACAAACCTCTCCGCCGCCACCCTGCTGCCGGGCTGCTTGAAGAACCGGTCGTGTAATGGAGCTGGAAATGCCAGACATGCTGGAAGACAGACTCATGCAGGCAGCTGAGGTTGGCGACGAGGCGGCGGTGCGGCAGCTGCTGGCTGCAGGCGCTCGGGCGGACCAGCTCAACCTGATCGGCTGGCTATCTCTGCACAGAGCCTGCGTCATTGGCCACGAGGGGTTGGCGAGGCTGCTGCTGGACGCTGCGCCAGCCACGGCTGCAGTGGCAGACTCCCAGGGGCAGACAGCCCTGCACTATGCCGCAAAGGGCTCGAGGCTGTCTGTCTGTCTGTTACACCCATAAGGAGCAAATGAATGCCACGGGCCCAGCTGTGGTGCAGCAGCTGGAAAGGTGAAGGCACCATACACAAACGGGGAGAGAGAGAGGGGGGGGGGGGGGGGGGGGTGCAGACAGAGCAGGGGGGGAGAGGAGTCTGATTGGGGCGGGTCTCCCCGGGGACAGTGCGGACAGGCGCCTGAGCAAGGCACAGGCACAGCCCAGCCGCGGCCGTCGTGCGCCTGCTGCTGGAGGCTGCTCCAGCCATAGCCTTGGCAGTGGACTTCTCAGGCTGGACACCGCTGCACCGTGCGGCTGAGCGTGGGGACATTGAAGTGATGAAGCTGCTGCTGCCGGCGGCACGCGACCCTGCCGCAATGCTCGACGCACAACATCGTGCACCCATCCACATGGCCGCCAACCGCAGCAACGCAGCAGCCGTGCAGCTGCTGCTGACGGCGGCACCAGAGGTGGCTTTTGCGCTGGATGGTTCTGGCCGCTCGCCGCTGCACCTGGTGCTGCAGTACGGCCTTTGCAGCACAACAGAGCAAGTCGTGGAGACGGCGCGCTGCCTGGTGTGGGCGGCACCAGAGGTGCAGCCTGCCCTGGGCATCCTGCTGCAGCACGGGCAGCACTCCTCGACCCTCTTCGCTGACCTGGTGGCCCACCCGCCGTTGAGCCAGGAGCAGTGGCGCTCGATTCCTGCGCCCTGCACCGACCTTGCTCGAGCGCTGCCAGCCGTCCTGCAGCGATCGACCGCCGAGGCGGGGTGGCTGGTGGGGCATTTGGCAGAGGAGCAGCGTGCGCGGCTGAGGGCAGCGGCGCTCAGCATGGCGCGGGCGCAGCTGGGTGGGCCGTCCCTGCCGGCAGAGCTGAGCGGGCGCATCCTGGCGCTGTGCTTGCCGTAGCGACTGATGTTGAAAATTAACAGGAGTTGTGTACATGTTGGGGTGGTTTAATTGGGCTTGTGTGTTGGGGTGAACACCAGAGGCCACAAGGGACGCGGTACCCAGAACGGTTGCGCCATGCGGCGCTGCGCTGAGCTGTCGCCGCCGCCATCTCGTGCCTTGGGGCGATCTAAACTGACACACGCCACGGCGCACTTCATTCCTTTCACCTTGCACCGTTTACACCCGCCCACGTCTTCCGGCGGGCTATCGAGGGAGACACAGGCGCAACGCCATCCCCTCGGGCTCTCCGGGGCACACCTTCGGCACCCAGTGCCGGCTCCGATCGACTTCTAGGCAGCGCTTCCATCCCCGCGGCAGCGCTCGGCAACGAGGCCATGGCCAGGCGGGCAGCAGTGCTGCTGCTGCTGGCGGCGGCAGCGGTGGCGCACGGCGCAGCGGTGAGAGCCCGCCGCCGCCTGCCTCGTGCCCGACAGGAGCCAGCGCTGGGCCCCCCGATCATCTTGCACGCACTCCTGCCGCACCTGCTGGCACGCTGCCTGCTTTCTCGTTGACAGGCCGTGCCGCGGCAACCAGCGGGCTCCTGGCCGCTCACCGCCGCCGACGCCCTCCGCCGCAGGCGCCCGGCTGCCGCACTTACACAAGCAAGGGTCTCATCCAGCCTGCCATCGGCTCCCTCCAGGACGTCGTTGTGGTTCAGGCAAGCCCTGGCTTTAAAAAACGGAAAGGGGGAAGCTTCCCTTCTGCCTGCGGCCCACCCTGCAACCCCTGGACCCAGCTGCCGCCGCTGGCCTGCCACCCGCCCGCCTCCCCGGCTGCGTCGGCCTGCACACCAGCCCCACCTCTCAATGCCCCTCTCCGGTGCCGCTGTCCTGTACTTTCCTCCCGCAGGATGCCTTTGTGGCGCAGGATGCCTCGGCCACACTAGACGTCAGCCACCGGCGGGTTGGAGCCCTCAAGGCAAGTGTGTGCTGTGCTGTGCTGTGCTGTGCTGTGCTGTGCTGTGCTGTGTGTGTGTTCGAGCTGTGCCGCGAGAGAGAGAGATTGAGTGTGTGCTGTGCCTTGTGCCCTCTGCTGCCGCCGCCCTGCCCGGCTGCGGCTGTGCGGCGGGAAAGCGGGGGGCTGCCTCCCTACTTCAGCTGCAGCCGCTGCTGCCGCTGGCGCCCACCCAGCCTCAGTCTAGTCAACTGCAGCACATGCCACCTCCGCCGCCGCCGCTCACTCCCTGCCCCGCCTCGCCCCGCCGCCGCCGCCCGCAGATCACCCTGACGGCGGCGCCCTTCTCCAACGCCGCGGGCGCGCTGGCGGCCCACCCCACCATCATCCTTAAGTCGCAGGGACTGGGCAGGAAGGGGCACAACCTGTACCGCACCACCTTTGCGGATGCCGCCCAGCTCTCGTTCCCGCTCGAGGCGGTGAGCGGTGGGGCGGCTGGGGTTGGGGCTGTGGGCTGGGGCTGTGGGTGGGGGCTGTGGGTGGGGCGGGGTTTGGGCAGGCAGCCAGGCTGGCTGGCTGGCTGGCAGGCAGGCAGGAGCTTCCTCAATGGGCAGGCTGGCAGGTGGCCTGCCTGCCAGTGGCGATGCTTCAATAGCCAACCGTGCCTGCCTGCACTGCCGCGCTCCCCTTGCCGCAGAGCTTCGCCCCCTTCACCGGCACCTTCCGCCCCGTCCAGAAGCTGGCCTTCCTGGTGGATGGCGAGCTGCCAGGTACCGCAGCTGGTACCGCTGGTGCAGGCAGCAACCCAGCTCGTGTCCCCCCGCCGTCCTGCCTGCCACCGCCCCAAGCCTCTTGCCCTCCCACCTGCCGCCGCCGCCTATTACTCCACCTTGCTCCTGCCCCCGCTCCCCGTCTGCGCTGCAGTGGCCGGCTCCGGCGGCAGCCAGGGCCTGTGGACGCTGACCGTCGCTGACGTGGCACCCAACAACACGCTGTGAGCGCATCACCGTCACGTGGTGGCAGCCGCCGCGCAGCTGCCACCCTGGCATCGCGGCTATCGTTTCAACATTTTTCGCACTCCCCTGTGCCTGTGGCAGCAGCTTACCCTGCCTCCCAATAGCCAGCTCACGCGCTGCCTCCCCCTCCTCTTCCCCTGCCACCCTTCTGGCCGACCGCAGGCGTGACATCGCGCTCAACGGCTGGACCCTGCAGCTGTGCGATGCGGTGCAGGAGTCGCCCGCCCCGACACCTTCTCCCAGCCCCTCCCCGGCCCCTGCCGTCGTGCCAACCCCCACCGCCTCGCCACCCGCTCCCGCCGTTGTCTCCTACTCTGGGCCCACCGATTCTGGCAGCTCTGCTGGCCCCACCACCGGCACCGGCACCGGCACCACCGGCACTGGCGCCGCCGGCCCCAGGTGCGGCGGCGCCAGTGCCACAGTCGCTGCTTGCAGGGCTGCGTGCCTGCTGCCTGCCCGCCAAGCAGCCAGCGCCTGTGCTGTGCCTGCTGTGCCTGCTGTGCCTGCCTGCCCACCCCTCCAGCTCACTCATCCTCCTGAGGCTCCCTCCCCTGCCTCCTCCTCTCCACCCGACCTGCAGCAACATCCTGGGGTGGCAGGTGGTGTACCGCGGCGTGCCACCCGCCCCGCTGCAACCCGGTTCCGGCGCCCCCGCACCCGTCCCCTCCCCCGCCTGGCCCCCGGCAGTTGGTACCGACGGTACCGGCGCGCTGGACCAGCTGCTGGCGCAGCGCCCGCTGCTGACCCTCCTGCAGAACCAGATCGCTGCCCTGGCTTCCGGCATCGGCGGCACCTGCGACCCCACCTGCCAGCAGGCCAAGCAGAGCATGTGGCGCGCGGGTGAGCGCCTGCACTGCGCCACCCAGGCACCCTCCCCTCTTCACCCTCCCCTCCTCCATCTCTCCCTCACCCTCTTTTGTCCCCCCGCACTCCCTGACCCTCCCTGACCCTCCCTTACCCTCTCCCTCCCTCTCTC